GTATGGGCTTGCCACCATGGGCCGCCACACCCGGTACGCCACGTTGCGGCGGCTGGTGCGTGCGCGATATATATATATCTAGTCGCGTGGGTAATGGATGCGCTGGCTGAACTCGCCTTCCATCTGCGGGGGTAACGTGGCGGTTAAATACACCATCGGGCACCGCGCCCGGACTAACCGGCCTAACTGCGCCATCTGCGGCCGGAAATCCTTCTGCGCATTCATGATAATATGGCATTCGTCCACCACCACGCGGTCCAACCGGCGCATCATCACCAACTGGTTGATAAACGACTGGAAATCGCTCGTCACCGCGGACTCGGGCGTCACTAACACGATGGCCGCCTCGTCGGGCGGCCGCTGCCAGTCCCACGCCACGCATAACACCCCTAGCTGCTGGCACCGCCGCGCCATGTCCTGGCGCAACGATATCAATGGGACCACCACGATGGTGGTACCGCCGGGCACGGCCCACGCGGGTAATATGAACAACATGCTTTTGCCACCCCCCGTGGGCATGATGGCCACCACCGGGCTGCGGCCCTGCTGGATGGCGGCCATGGCGCTGGCCTGCACGCCGCGGAACTGCATGCGGGCCTGGCCGGTCATCTGCTGCATCGCCGTGGTCATGTCCATGGCCTGCAACTGCTGCTGGCGCTCCCACTGGTGCTCCTCGGCCTCGGCCTGCCATGGCGCGCGCTTGCGCTTGCCCAACGTCATGGTGGTGGCCGGGCGAACCCTAACCCTAACGTCTGCATGGCCGCTGGGCTGGCCGGGGCTAACCCCAACTGCTTGCGAACCGCTTGGGGCGCGGGCCCCGCTGCCTGCGGGTTGGGGCTGACTATCATCCCCAGCATGGCTAACCCTAACCCTAATATCGGTGGCGGTGGGATGGCGGTGGTGGTCTGGGCTGGGCGCGCGCGGGGTTTGCAACCATGGTTGTAAATGGCCTGGGGCGCCAGCTGCCTCGTCCGTGGGGACTAACCATGGTTGCAAACCGCTTGGGGCGCGGGCCCTGTTTCCTGCGGGTTGACTACCGTCGTCCTGGCTAAACCCAACTGCTTGGGAACCGCTTGGGGCGCGGGCCCCGTTTCCTGCGGGTTGACTACC